ACCAGCCAAAATAAGCATTTTCTTTTGCTATTTTGTAGGTCATTCGGATTTTTTTTTTTTTTTTCAATGTCACCACGCTGTGGCGCTTGAGGTGAATGTACTTGGAGGAGCCCAAAAAAAAAAAAAAAAAACACCACTCTTTCAAGTTAGTGGTCGGCCCGTTCACCGTGAACGGTCATTCACAAAAAAAACACCAAATGAACGGCCGGTCACGTTCAAGTGACCGGTGTCGGTCACGTTCACGGGTCCGACACTGCCCGGGATCCCATCGGGGCCTCCGCACCACCCTCTGCTGATGTCGTTTTCGGTAGACGTGCTTGCATTTTTCGTCCCTACCCCAGGGAGGATGACTCGGACGAGGAGCCGGTACCCGAGGCGGCAGATGACCCTGTGCTCCACATTCCCCGTGAGATGAACGAGACGCACGAGGAGACGAGGGCATACACTGCACGACGGGCGGCGGACCGGGCGGAGAGGGAGATGCTGGGGGAAGAGGAGGACTTTTGGGGCCCATTTGGGGAGCTCGCTTCCACGGGCGGCCCAGAGGCGCAGGCGATAACTCCCACTCCGACGAGGCGGGAGTCGTCCATGCCGCCACCTCCTGCTCCGAGTCCTGCACCACCATCGCCCATCTCGCCACTTCAGCCGGCCATGGCAACGGCGGACAGGGAGAAGTTGGGGTCCTCTTTGCCTCAGCGCGGACTTCTCCACAGAGGCGGGGCAGTCCGCCAGTTGAGGTTACGATCACCTTCCCCGGGGATATTGCAGGAGGAGGGGGCACTGTCGGCAACAGTGGAGGGGCAGGTGGCATCAGCGGAGGTGGCGGACGCGACGCTCGCAGCCTCGGTGGACGAGATAGCAGCAGCAGCAGCAGCAGCAGTGCTGGAGGAGAAGGCAGCAGCAGTGCTGGCGGAGGAGGCACCAACGGAAGGAGGAGCAACAACAGTGGAGGGGCAGGTTGCAGCAGCAGGAGGAGCAGCTGGAGGAGCAGCAGCAGTGGAGGTGGAGGGGGCAGCAACAGTGGAGGAGGAGGAGGCACCGTCGGCAGCTGCAGTGGAGGGGGGGTGCCAGGACCAGTGGAGGAGGAGATAGCCGCACAGGCGGAGGTGCAGCTTGGGGGCAATGACGAGCGCCTCATGCAGCAATTCCACATGGAGGAGCTCGATCCGGTCATAGCGGGTATGACCCCAGGTGTGGCGAGGGGGGTTGGGATTTTTGATTCGGAGATGGAGACCCACTTAGACTTTGATTTGTCGATGGGCCTTCCACCTAGATGCGACGGGGCAACATCGACGGACCGGGCTCCATCGAGGGACGAGGCGGCAGGACAGACTTTGACGCAGGCCGTGAGAGAGAGGACGACGACTGAGTCTCCAGATGCAGCACGCGACATCATGGAGCGAGAGAGGGCTCGACTTTTGGCATCGAGTAACCTGCGTGCTCAGGCGTTCGCACGGGCCTTAGAGGAGGCCAGGCTTCGAGAGACAGGGGGGGATTGTGTGCAGGGTGGGATGGTGGCGGGGGAGGACGTTACGGAGGGAGTAACAGCAGAGGCGGTCGATGAGGCTATGCCGGGTGGAGCAGAGGCAGTGGAGGTTGCTGTGGAGGGACGGCCATAGGCGGTGGATGAGGCTGTGCAGGCAGGACAATGGCGAGTCGATGGGGCTATAGACGCACGACGCGTGCTCTAGGAGACAGCGACGGGTCCAGTCGTTCCGTTCTCGGGTCTGCACTTGGCTCAGGGCTGACAGTCGCAGGCGGTTCAGATGGCAGTGCATGGTGTGCCACCGCCCGTTATCACGGATTTGGGATCCGAGCTGGTGGTTGAGCCCCCACGTCTTCCTAGCCAGTTTGCTCCGCAGGAGGTCCGTTGTCCTTTGGATGCAGAGGAGTTGGCGAGAGATGTTGTACGTGATGTTACTCGATTGGACCGGCGGATCTTCGACCAGAGGCTCGAGCATCCAGCATGGCAGTCGATCCCTTCGGTTCCATGGGGTTCTGCGTCGCCCGTGTGGTCTGGGTCTACTTCCACCGGGGGACGTGTCGTGGGACATGTTTCAGGAATTTCTGGTGGCGTGATGGAGACAGCGCCACACATAGGAGACATGCCACCCCCTCCTCCTAGAGCACATGTAGGTGATCCATCATCGTCGCCCACAAGGAGAGGCTCTCAATCCCCACACACGCCTGGGAGATGTAGGATTCGTGACACGACAGCAGTTCAGTAGGACGTGTGTAACACGACGTTATTCGGGAGGACAAACATAGATTTGGATTCCACCCACCGTGTCACGGAGCACACTACACGCCTTCAGCCGGGCTTGGGACCCTGCCACGTCAGGACGACCGCGGCGAGGGAGGTACCGACATTAGGTTGTGAGCCTCAGCGAGGTCGCGGCAGAGGAGTGTCCACCAAGAGCTTGGATTACGCTCTGAGAGCAGCGACAAGTGTCGTGCAGGAGCAGACTCCACGCAAGCGTGGAGTGCCTCCTCGTCCACGCCCCGTGCCTGCAGAGGGAGGCGCTGCACTTGGAGAGAGTTCGGGGGCGGAGGGGTTGGGGATGCCTCCTGGATCCCGCCGTGAGTAGACCGTTGCAGAGGCTAGTGCGAGGGTTGTTGTGTTGAGGAAGGTAGGAGGCCTAGTCACCATCGAGGAGGATGATCCTGATACGGATGCGGTTGTGCGGGAGGCGGACGAGGACTATGAGGGCGAGGAGGATGGAGAGGAGGAGAGCAGGAGCGGTTCTGATGGTGACGACGACGACGACTACGATGAGCCCCCACCTCCCCCAGGAACCCCACCGATGCGTGCATCTACACGCTCCGCTGCGTGGACTTCTTCATCCTCACGAGGGAGAAAGAGGTCGACATCCGGCACTCGAGGGGGTACAGGGAGACTGAGCGGGAAGGGGAAGAAGGCTCGTTGACCGATGAGGCCAACACTTCGCTTCTCTCCTACTCGCATTGTACGTCGTCATGTTGTGCGGTCCTAGTTTTTTTGGTCGTCTGAGTCGTGTCGTCTTGTCTCAGTATTGTCAGACACTCAGTGGTAGTGTGCGTGCTTTACTTGTTGGTGTGTATGATTTTGGTAGCAGTTGGGTGTTCGTAGAGTATGATTTTGGTGTCAGTAGGGTGTTCGTAGAGTGCCGTCGGTTGCAGACAGAGTATAGTATCTCGGCAGCTACGACACGACTTGTAGACTACTGTTTCTTGTATTTTTTTCGACATGTGGTGCCAGTGCCTTAGCAGTAGGATACATTGTATCATGTTACATTTT